TTTCTAGAATAAAAGTCCGAGATGAGCTTGAAATTTGTGCCCCTAAGCAAACATTTCGAAAAGGCGTCTCTTACTTTTTGCAAATTGCCAAAACAGACTGGTTTCCAAAAGAGGGGTCCTCTTGCAATTTGTGGGTGCTATCTCTGCCTCGAGGCCTGACACGGCAGCTTAGAGCTAATCAGAACCTGCAGAGATGTCAGGGCTGGACTCCCCGCTAGGGCTTTGTGGTTCTGTCACAGACACTGGTATGTTTCCAGTGGTGGTTTTAAGTTTGCACATTTGAATTGAAGTATCACAATTATCAAATAGGTTTGATAATTTTGAGATTTTCTCTTTTTTACATCAGTTTATTGAGGTTTAATTTATATATAATTAAATTTACTGATTTTAAACAAACAATTTGATTACTTTTGGCCACGATCATTTTTAGAATACTTTTTTCCTTCTTTTCTTTCTTTCTTTTTTTTTTTTTTTTAGAATCAGAGTCTCACTCTGTTGCCCAGGCTAGTGTGCAGTGGTGTCATCATAGCTCACTGCAACCTCAAACTCCTGGGCTCAAGTGATCCTCCTACCTTAGCCTCTCAAATAGCTGGACTACAGGTGTGCACCACCATACCCAGCTAATTTTTCTTATTTTTTGTAGAGATGGGGTTTTTCTATGTTGCCCAGGCTGTTTTCAAACTCCTGACCTCAAGCAATCCTCCTCCCTCAACCCCCTCAAAGTGCTGGGGTTACAGATGTGAGCCACTGCACCCAGCCAGAATATTTCTTTCATCCCCCGAAAGTATCCTCATGCCTCATTGCAGTCAGTCCCTACCCCTGGCAACCACTGATCTGCTTTTTTGCCTTGTAGTTTCACCTTTTCTAGAATTTCATATAAATGCAATCACATAGAATCTGATCTTTTGTGTTTGGCTGTTTTCACTTAGCACGATGCTTTGGGATTCGCTCATATTGTATATGTGCCGGTAGTTTATTCCTTTTTTATTGCTAAGTAGTATCATGTTGACTTTTGTCTGGATTTGAAAAAATATATTTACTTGGGACATTCGAAAAAGCAAATAGATTTTTCTTGTTCTTTTAAAAAGCATGTGCCAATTAAAGGTAATCCTAAAAATATATTTGAATCCTTCTCACCTTTTCCCTGAAATAGAAGATACCAACGTGCCTTAAAGTGGAATTTTCAATGCAAAAATTTTGAAACATTAGGCAAAAAAATGTGTATGTGAAAGAAATTTTCAGATACGTAGGAAATGAATTAACAACTTCTAGGTAAATGTCGGTAATCTGGATGTCAAGCTGGATTTGGCCAACAGTTCCACAGAAGTTTACAATTATGATTCAATAATCAATTAGTGGAAGGGTGGAAGCGAAAAATTCCATCTTTTAGTTATTAATAATAATTATAACAAGGAAAAACTGGTGCTTAGTGACAATAATAATAATAACTGCAATAACAATAATTATTATTATAGCTACACCTGTATAGTGCATATTATGTGCCTGCTGCTGTTCTGAGCACTAGACAGGTCATTAACGCATTTAATTTTCCCAACAGCCCTACTAGGTAAGTATTCTGTTATTACCCCCATTTTTTACAGATGAAGAAATTGAGGATCAGAGAAAACTAAGTGATCTGCCACGATGAATGGTGAAGCCAAGATTTGGCCCTGGGAGTCTGCTCCAGAACTCTGACCACGAGAGCACTCTTAAGTCCAGCAATGCACTGGGGAAGAATCCCAGAATTGGTAAAGGGGGTCGATATTATCCCTGAGCAAGATAAGGGATGGAGCCAGAGCAGGGGTCTCGAGCCTGAGCCAGACAGGGTTTTTTAAATATGTGGAAAAAGCCCAGAACAAGGCAATGCAAAGAAGAGGGAACTGAGAAAAGTTGGAGAGTGCCTGCCTTAAGGCATTTACATTTTTAAGAAGTGTTTAAAATCCTGTACTATTTACATAAAAGTGGCTGCTGGTTGGTCTAGTGCCCAGAAACCTGTTGTCCATTTGCTGCCCCCTGGTCTAGGTGCCCTCTGGGGATCCTTTCAGAGCTGACATCTTAGAAAAATCAGAAATATTTGTTCAGAGTCCTTGGTGACTTGGCTTTATCAACGTATGCCAATAGTCTACAGTCTGGCTGAGTTGTAATAAATACCCTTTGAATTCACGTTGAATTAATTTAGTATTGTGAATTTGTCTTTTTTTATGATGCTTTTTCATCTGACCTAACAAAGAATTTAGGGCTCATAGTACCAGATGGCCTGGTTTTGAATCTTGGTTTTGCTACTGTCTTAAGCAGCAGAAGGTCAGATATAACCAGACCCGTGCATGTTTGTGTCTTTCTACAAGATCAGACTGTTATCGGTGCTTATTTATTCATAAAAGCCACGATCTACATGGAGTTCCCAAGGAGGCGATTCTCTTTTGCACCACCCATTCCCTCGCTAGTCATAGCCACCAGCACACAGGCTCAAGTCAGTTAATATTGTAAATAATATATAGTATTATATACCATACTATTCTATAGTATACTTAATATTAATACATAAATGTTATAGATTAAAATTTTCGCATCAAACAGAGTAACATTTAACATCAAGAGAAAAGGGGAGGGATGGAAAACCAGTCCAAATAGTGAAGCGGACAAAGAGAGTGTCCTGGGCTGATCCAGACAGTCGTCAGTGTCTCACAAGGAAAAGTCCTTGATTTGGACAGAGCCTTCGAGGGGCAAATGCTGGGTGCTGATCACAAGTGACAATAGGATGGTCTCTACTGAGATGGCGCTGTTAAACTGGTGAAATCCTGCTCTTCTTATTGTTTCTGAGTCCTCTGGTTAGGACTGATAGTAAAGGGTGTGTCTCGTTACACCCTTCTCTGGTTGGGTGTAGTCCCTACTGAGTAGGTAAACATCTGGTCCCCTTGACATGATACCTTTTAAAATGCAAGATGGAGTCTTTCTCTAAGATAGAGTGACTTAAGTCAAGGGTGCTCTATACAGCCACTTACTAGCAGTGTAACTTTGAGCATGTTACTTGACCTTTGCAAGCCTGCATTTTCTCATCTGTAGAATGGGGAGATTAATAGTATGCCTAATTCATAGGGTTGTCTTGAAGATCAAAAGGTTAATATGTATAAGGGATTTACAACAGTGATGGACAAATAGTATTACATATGTGCTCACTATTATTATGATATTATCACTGCCCAAAAGGGATAGAAAATGAAAATATCTGTTCCAACTTTTGAGATATAATAAACTATAGCCATCTGCACTAAAATGAAGTTTACCTCCAAGACTTTATTTTGTAGGGCACTGTTCCTGTTCCCGCAGGATTGTGATGAATTGCACACACGGATGGGCCTCAGGGACAAGGTCAGGGACAGGATCTCAGCCTCCAGAAGGCACTGACTACTGGGAGGGAAAATTCTAAATTCTGTGAACTGAAAGGTTAGCAGTGACTGGATACTCTGAGTTTTAAGGGAGGAGAGTATTTATGCCATTTGTTTGAATCCTGGGCAGAGTAGGAGAGAATCCAGCCTGGCATGAGGAAGTGGGAGTTTCCTTTCTCTTCCTCATTGTTTGTTGCTGGATGGTTTAGAGGAGGTGTTAGGTAGGTTGCAGCGACCTGTCTTGCCCCTGTGGTTCCTGGGCACTGCATTCCGATTCCAGTTCTTCCTAAAACCGGGTTCATGCTCCCAGTTCTGTACAAAGCCACCTCCGGCCATCCCAGTCAGCCCAGCCTAGTCTCCATAACATGCATAAGCTAAAGTTCTTATATCCTGTGACATTATGTATGTCTTACATTGTTTGTTAGTTATTTTATGTTGCTATCATCCATAGAACAATCTAGAGAACAGTCATTCATTTAGTCAAACAGCTCTTTGTTGGGGACCTTTGTGGGTCTTGATAATGGGAAGAAGGAGTGGTTGTTTTGGACAGATTGTGTGTATGTAAACCTCTGGTAATTTTTAAATCTCTTGGCAGGAAACAAAGCCTTCTCCTTGACCGCCACCTCTCTGAATTATTGCCACCAGCCTCCTTAGGGGTAGGGACAATATAGGTTCTACCAAGATCTGCAGTTTTCTAGATATTACTCACTTCCCCTCACACAGCAGATGATACAGTTGGCGTCAATAAGCATTTTCTAGCGGGCCCATAGAGAATGGCATGACAAGTAGGCTGGAACATACAAAAAGTACGGATTCTGGATCCTCTTTCTTATCCGGTTCAACCAGATATTTATTGACCACCAATTGCAAGCTGGAAACTGTGCTAGTTGTTAGGAATACAAAGGGACACCGGGTCTTCATAGGGAGGCTGGACTGTCAACAGGTCACTTTAGGAGTTGCTAGCCCAGGAGATCAGGAAGTGATGGGAACCCAAGAGAGGAACCCTTGGTCCAGCTGGAGATTGTGAGGGGAAGAAGAATGGGGTTGCTGTATTTGAGAGAGGGGCTGACCCGAAGTCAGAGGGTGGAGAGGGCCCTGTGGTGACTCTCGGACTGACTCTCTTCCTCGATGTCTTTTAGACGGGAGCGGATGAGGGCTTGTTTGTGAGTCGGGGTACTTGAGGCTGGGCCTGGCAGTTTGAGGACGCGGCGGGCTGCTGGCAGCTCCCTCTGTGGATTCTGCTCAGGACCACCCCGGGAGAGAAGGAGGGATGTGAGGGATGCGGCGCATTCCAGGAGCAGGATCCCGGGCCGCGGCCTCCGCGCCACGCCCTTGGCCGAGCCAGGTGCGCGCCCTCGTCGCGGCGCGGGGGGGAGCGGGGCCGGGGTGCGCGGTGCGTGTGTGTGTGTGTCTGCCCCCGGAGGGCTGGGTCCTCCTTATTCACAGGTGAGTCACACCCTGCAACGCGGGCTCTCTTCCTGTCAGGACTGAGTCAGGTAGAAGAGTCGATAAAACCACCTGATCAAGGAAAAGGAAGGCACGGCGGAGCGCGGAGCGAGAACCCCGGGCCGCCAGGCGCCGGGCACTTCCCCTGCAAGCACGGCGCGCCCCGCCATGCCCGCGCCCCGGCTCGGCTGCGGCCTCTGCCTCGCGCTGCTGCTGCTCCTGCCCGCCGCGCCCGCCGCCGCCAGGAGGGGAGGTGAGTCGCCTCCGCCGCGCAGTCTCAGCCCCGGGCCGCGGCTCGCCTTTCTCTGCAGACCCCGCCGGCTGCACACACCGCTGCGGACTCCCGCTTCGTCCGGAACCTCTTTACACCCCCTTCCCCTCCCCTCTCCAGGGCTTCTCCAGAGATCGGTTTAAAATGAGACTAATACTATATAAAGCTGTCTGGCTTTTATCATGCGAAGCCAATGGGTTGTGCCAAACCAGGGTTTCCCTTACTTTAAACATGTTCCTTCTTGAGTTCCTGTTTAATCAGTAATACGTTGGTATATACATTCTTTTCCCAGCGTGTTTTTATTAGGAGATTTGGGTGGGGGTGTTTTCCATGACTGTGAACGCCGCAAAGATGGAAAAGGAACCTCTTCAATAATCCTTCAAGAATTCATGTTTTAATCTGTGGGATGGAAAATGAACCTTAAGAGTATTGGCAAAACTCTTAACTTTTGTGTAACATTACTTTTCATAGTATTTTCATGGAATTTTCATTCAACAGGATTTATTGGGCACCTGTGTGATGTATCATTTGATCTTATCTAGGGCACCGAGTGGCTGTCATGTGTGAGAAGTTGAGTTCATGTAAACACAACTTTCTGAGAACCTAGCAACTGTTTACTGTGTGCATGTGTCAGCTATGACAACACATAATGGGTATTTTTCTTGTCGCTTAGTTCTATCGATACTTGCCTGTATAATTACCCTGAATTTTTATGTTTTTATTGCTTTCTGCACCTAATGGTATTTTAACAATCATTTCAATAGATCAAGGCCAAGTGGCATTTTCACACATGTGCGTGCATGAGTGTGAGACAGTGCTCACGTGCACATGGAATTATATTAGACATTTGATATATTATTGTGTAGTTTGGCCTGAACTGCATTTGAATGGCATGAATAATATTTGAGCATGTGTTTGAATGCATTGCTGTCCTTTTTCCTAAAATAGTCTTGGAATTAACTTTCAACCCATTATCTCTGAGTACCATTTTAAAAACCGGGTATGATTGTCACCAAAAAAAAGGGTAACTGTGTGAAATAATGGATATGTTAATTTGCTTGACTATAGTAATGATTTCAGTGTGTATAGTATATCAAAACATCATGTTGTATACCTTAAATATATACAAGTAAAAAAAAGTGTGAAAATGGTCATATAGGGTAGGTTCCCTTAGGGTTATCTTAGCCTAATACAAAACACCCTAAAAGTAAGACCAGTCTCTGAATATTAGCAATAAAAGCGACCGTTCATAGAACAACTACTTAGAATCCCTTGATTTAATAAGTGAGAAAATGGAAATGTTTTTGCTCAAGACCATACAGGCAGCTATTGGCAGAGACAAAACAGGCAATTGATCCAGGGGTTCTTAGACTGGAGCTTTTTTGACCACATTATAAAAGTAATAAGGGAACAAGGTACATGTTTTTTACGTGATAAGTAATTATTGAAGCAATTTTCTCCTTGGCTACAGTTAAGTGTTTAATAAAATCAGACTTACGAGGACAGACCAGCTTCTTTGTCTAGACAGTGAAATCGGAAGCAGTGTTCATGCTCATTTCTAGGTTTTCCCCTTCTTTGGAGACAGACTGCTTATGGTTTTATGTTCCCTCCTCAAAGGGGTTCGTTTTGGGGTCCAATGGGACTGTGACAAGTTTAGCGTTAGGGTAAAGTGTGCGTGCTTTTCCATTCAAGCTGGGATGTACTGAAAGTTGGACTGAAGGTATGGTACCTGCCTCGTCTGAGAAAGTGAGCACGTCTGAGGGTCCTGTGAGCTGCACATCTGAGAGCCGAAAGCAGGGATGTTGCTTCCTGGTCGTCCCCTTGCTGGGGAAATGATGGTAATAGGTGTGAGCAGCAAGAATTTCCAAGTTGGTCTCAGCTAAAGCACAGGCTTTAGGATCAAACCTGACCTGGCTTTAAATTTTAGCTCATTCACTTACTAGTTCCTTTTTAGTAACCTTTCAGATTCCTAAACTGCTTGGAGTGTGCTTCTTCATCTGTTAAATGGAGGTAATAGTACTCTGCAACTTTGTAGAGTTGTTGAAAGGATGAAACATTATTGTAAAGTATTAAAATGCCTGGAACCCCCTTTCTTTAAAAAGTCTGGAGGCAACAGTACAGGTATAGTAAACTCAGATGTCCAAAGATCAGTGAGAAAGATGAAGGCTCACCTTCGGCAGCTCACAGCTTGGTGCGAGGGTATGTGTCAGGCAGCTCCAGTGGTCTGGGTCTTAGTTCACAGGGGCAGACGTGGCCAGAGAAGGAGTGAGAAGGAGATAGGAAAGAGACTAGAAATGTAGCCACCAATCTGGTCGTGAAGGGCCTTATTTGACAGACTGTGCCCTGCAGGCAAAAATGAGCTCTGGATGGTTTGTAAGCAGGAGTGAGCATGATTGGATTCATGTTTTAGAAAGTTCACTCTCAAGGGCTTGGAGGACAGAGTGGAGCTAGGAGAGTCAATGAAATGATCCTTGTCGTAATCCAAATGTGAGATGATGGAGACTTTCATCTTGGTGGAGTAAACAGATTACAGAGACATTTAGAAGATAAAAATCTAAAGAATTTGCTGATCCAATGAGTGTGGGTATGTTAGGGAGTACAGGAAAATTGTGAGAGGTAAAGGAAGAATCCAGGATGGATCCAAGGGTTCAAGTTTGTTCAATTGGACAAACAGCGATGCCATTTCAGGAAGTGAGGATATAAAAGGAGGATCGGGTTTGGGAACAAGGTTGGGCCGTGGGTGGAGAGGAGAGAGTGAGTTCCTGTGGGGGCCTGTTGAATTGGAGATGCAAGCGAACATGTCCAACGGTTCCAGGGAACAGCTGGAACTATGATTTTGGTGTTTAGAAGAGAAATTTCAAATATAAATTTGGGAGCCCATAGGTAGAAAGCAAAGCCTTGACCACAGGTGAGGTTACCTAGGATATAGAGGTAGAAATGTCAACACTGGAAAAGGAGATGGAGGAGCAATGAAGGATGGATCACTGGGGGTAGAGGAGAATGGAGACAAAGGAGTGTTTGTTAGCCAGAGGAAGAGTGGCAACAGCGTGGGAGTAATAACTGGTATTCGGATACTCAAATGTATGTACACAAAGAATGAGGGCTACAATGACCTGCTGGAGTCAGCCAGCAGGTGAGTTTTGAAGCAGTTGTTCTTCTAGAATGGTGAATTCCGAATCCAAGATTATCATAGATCACTAATTTGGTTTTTCCTGTGCCCCGATCTTGGAAGAGAGGTGCTGTGGATAGCAGAAAGGATCCCTGGAAATGTCTACGCTCTTTCCTGGATTCTGTTATTTCAGTCATTGCAGTGGTATGACGTCATGCATAGAAGTGCAGGCTGTGGAGTGAGACTGCCTGGGTTCAAATCCTTGCCCCCTCCATTTACCACTGTGGGACATTTATGCTGTAGGACTTGGGCCAGCTGCTTCGCCCGTTACTCAGTTTCTGCATCTCTGAAGTGCGGATAGTAAATCCATGCTTGGTAAGCACCCAATATGTGTTCAGTCTTACTGTTAAGGTTGCCAGTAACTGTCCTGTTGGTACTGAATGTTAGTATGTTGCCTTGACTTTTCAGTGGTGAAGTTTTTGAAGGGGCTCCTTTTTACTCTCCCTTTGTCAGCCCAAGAAAGGTGATGAGGAGCCAGCCCTTCAGCTCAGGTTGAAATGAGCCCCAAGCTTTATCCAATGAAACGAGTGGAATACTTGATCAGGAACCCAAAGCAGGTTGGAATTTTAAGATTAGATTTCATCATTCCTTCTCCTTGCCTTATGTCATGGCCCAGACCTCATCACACACAGATTCAGCACGTCTCTTGCTCTCAAAAACCTGCCCACATAGGAGATGACCCCAGCTAAGATGGTCTCATACTTCCCAAAGGGAAGGTCTTCCCCCATGTCCCCAAAAAAGTATGTGGACAACTTCATTATGGAAACATTTAGCAATACACATGTAGTAGTCAAATGTCTCTTTATTTTAATGTAGTAAATTAGTTATACAGATACCTTTAAAGTCATATAATTTATAAAATAGTATGCTAACTTAGAAGTATTGATTTGTTCATTCACATTTCATAAGGTAATTATATTCAAACTCTTTGCATTCATTTTCAGCATTCACTTGTCATTCCTAAAGCCACTTTAATATAGTTTCTTCTTCACTGGATGGTTTGAGATACAGTCCTGTTTGAATCTGTTTTGGATGTTGTCATTGGAAAGTACATCATTTTCAAAACATTTAAAAGATATAAAAATTATCCTAAGTGTGCATTGAAATCTTCACAGCATAATCGTCCTCAAAGGCTTATTTGTGACAACTTTCAGCACTCCCAGTTGTGAGAAACGCACCATTACGAGAATTGTGTTAGATAACTTGGCCTCTTTCTTAATGATAAGTATCCAATACATTGATTGAGGCCATTTCAGCTTAATGTATCTTCCCCAAACAATACTTTATTTTTAAAATAAGATAATTGAGAACGTACCCTATAATATGCAAGATTTTGAGAGGACTTAAATATGATCCTTTTTTTTTTACTGAGAAATAATTTTGGAAAAATAAAAACCTCCACCTTATATCCAAGCATGTATAAGTAAACAAGAATATAGAATCGGGTTGGTGTATGAGCTGGAAATTCCTATGTGGGCTTAAATTCTGGGTGTCCTGAACTGGGGGCAGCCACTGATTTTAGCTCCACTAGTCCAAGAAGCCGAGAAAGATTGTCGATTTGTGATCAGTGTTTATGGGGAAGTAAGAGTGTAAAATTAAGGTGTTGAGGCGACCCTGGGAATATTTTTCCCATTTAAGTTCTTAGTGGGTAAACCATATTGACACTTTTTTTTCTTGAAGAAGTTTGTAAGGATAGGACTTGAATCATCTATTACAGACCAATGTAGAAATAGGAGCTCCAAGCTGGGCATGGCGGTGCATGCCTGTCGTCCCAGCTACTTGGGAGGGTGAAGTGGGCAGATCACTTGAGCCC